AGTCTATCGAACACATTATTATTTTGAAGTCTACTTCTTTCTCCCCGAGGAGAAAATATCTCCTTCTTGACCCATCGTTTTTTATTTCTATTAGAAGAAGAACCAACAGATTGCTGAATTTCTCCTACTATCATCTGGACTGTTTGTTTTCCTTTAAAATTGTAATTCTTCTACTGTGTCTCCACTTTTTTGATTTCTCCTATCTGAAGGCTTTAGCAGCAGATCTGTCAAACATCGCACTAAATCATGGACATAATGCCACGTCTTCATCCTTCTCTTTCTTTCAGGTTAAAAAATTCAACGAGCGAATCCTCTGTTTGAGGATAAATCTCTCTCTCGAATTCTTTCTCAAACTCATTTAAATCAAACTCTATGTCTTCCTCTGACATGTCCATTTTGACATGTTTAGGATTAACGTCTTCAATAACATCGACCATACTTATAAAGGCTGAATTTACCAATCGGGCATCTTCAATAATGCCTGACTGAGACTCAACATACCCCACCTGAACTTCAAATGGACTAGTATCCACTTTCATTAACATCTCCTCAAATTTTAACCTTCCTTGGTCGATTGCATCTTGAATTGTGTTCCTGAAATATATACAATTATTAGTCCAATGCCCATAAATATTATGAAATTTGCAATATTTTTGACTATTTCTTTGATCTAAAGAAGGAAATTTATGATCATCACTCAATTTAATCTGTTTATCTTTCAATAAGATATCGAAGATTTTATCTGCTTTTGTTACATCGAAAGTATATGTTTGATTTTCCATTTTGTCTTTTACCTAGTTTTTCTGTAACAATTTACAAATATATGGAGCTCCCACTTTGAGCTCTACTATGTTTACTCTCTCATCAATAAAATCTTCATTTTCTACCTCTGTCTTAGGATTCTCTTCATATATTTCATTTATGTATGCCACCCTATCTTTCTTTATAGGTTTCTCAAATTTCTTATATCTTTCCTTCTCATACTCGTTTTGTTCCACTTTTCTTACTTTATCGGCTAATTGAGCCATGCCATTCAACGGTAAATTAACTAACTTCTTTCTAATCGAGAATTCTAAACCAGCTGAGGCCATTCTAACTAATTCAAATTCGGGAATATGAGTGAAACATCTTGATTTCATTTGTCTAAATCTATTCAAATAATCATCTATACTCTCATGATTATATCTTTTTATATTCATTAAGTCGATGAGACTTACTTGAGTTTCTCCCCTAAAAAATTGCTCATGAAAATTCCTTTCCAACTGCAGCCAATTATATATCGAGTTAGGTGGCAAAGTGGTAAACCAAGTGAAGGCATTCTTTGTTAATGAACTAGGAAAGTATTTCATTTTTAATTCCTCATTCATAGCTATATCTCCACATTCGATTTGATATCATGCCACATGCTCTATAGTGGATTCATCGATTTCTCCGACAAATTTTGTGAACTTAGGTAGTTTATATCCTCGAGGTAATTCCGTCTCGAGAATCGTGTTTGAAAAAGGAGAAACAAAGTATGATTGGTTAAGTGGTCTTAATTCCACTCCTTAGGGATTCATCCTTTGACCCAACACATGATTGTACTGCATGTTATTCTGATTATACACATTTTGAACCCCCCCATTTAAACTTCCGTGAGCATCATTCCTCATATGTAGATATTGATCAACATTTCAATTTCTCCTTAATAAATAAGGGGGATTAATATTGATGTTTTGGTTATTGTCCTGATTAGCATTAATCTCAACCCTCATTTGTCGAGGTATTGCCAATGCATCCCCGATACGTGTCATTTGATATGCTAATATCTCAAAACTACTAGTAGTGTTTTGAATTAATGGGTTTAATACTGTAGTCAACTGTTGTGACTACACATTAACCATCTCGAAATTACTTTCATCCATTTGTTATCGAAACACCCCTAATGAATTACTGGAAATTCCAGTACTAGTATTTTCGATAGCATCGAAATTAGATCGATGATAATCTCTATCGAATGCATATATCCCATGATCTAGATTTGCTATGTTATCCTGGTTTGGAATTGAAGACATATGTTGTGTTCCTAAACTTTGTACATTTCCTGGATTCTGAGGTGTTACTAAAATTTGGGATGTACCTAAATTCGGGGAAAATTTTTGAGGCATTCCTAAGGTTTGAACTATTCCTAGGTTTTGGGGCATTCCTAGGTTAGGTCTCATACTTCGTTGTACTGAAGTACCAACCCCATTCATATTACTAAAAGTAAATCCAGTCGGTCTTACACTCATATATGGACCTGCAAATGTTGTTACGGGACTTCCCGTAGTTTGCATACTGTTTGACATTATAGTCCCAGACCCTATTAACTGAGTATTTGCTAGAGTCCCTTGACTTTGTTCATTATTCCTTGGAATCGATGCACTCACATTTGTCGATATTACATGCATAGTTCCATTATGAACTCGCCCCAGTGTTTGGTGGATTTGGACTATTAGGAACCTCACTGTTACTCTGATTATTTGGTGGATTTTGATTCATTCTTACTATTCGTCCACTCCTTAATCTCATACACTTTTTGAACTAGCCAAATTTTGTGTGTTTAACACACCACCCCTACCTGGCGTGCCAATTTGTTTCTAGTGAAATTTTTGGTTTTGTTTCGATTTCCTAAAGACTAAGTTCTAACCAAATTTCAACACTGTAAGTTCTTTTTATTTAGGCTAACAAACAGTTTTTTAATAAAAAATGTATGAAGCGATAAATTTAAGTACAAAATACGGAAAACGTATTAACAAGCATACAAACATCAATGAAATCGAAAGTATTTTTTTTGTATTTTTTTAATTATGAGACTTGAGAACATGAAAATCAGTAGAAGTAAAGAAAACAGTAAAAAGATTTCGATGCAAAAAATTAATACATAATGTTAAATTGCACGAATAAATGACCAAGTAATTGAAATAACTGGAAAGTACAGAAAAGTAAATTTAACTTGCAAGTAGATAAATTACCGGGAAAGTAAAGAAAATGTTTAAAAGATATCGAGACGAAAAGTAATACAGAATCTTAAATTGCACAAGAGTAAATTGCAAGGAATTGAAATAACTGGAAAGTACAGAAAGACGAATTTAAATTGCATTAAAGATAAATTACCAGGGAAAGTAAAGAAAGCGTTTAAAAGATATCGAGACGAAAAGTAATGCAGAATCTTAAATTCCACAAGAGTAAATTGCAAGGAATTGAAATAACTGGAAAGTACAGAAAGACGAATTTAAATTGCATTAAAGATAAATTACCAGGGAAAGTAAAGAAAGCGGTAACAAAAGTCGATAAAAGTGAAAATCCAGATTGCCAGAAACTCCATGTTTCGTCGTTCTCCAGTGGACTTGTACAATAGATTTCTGATATCTCTGAAAAATTCCCCTTCCTTCTTCACGCTTCGTACTATTTATAGCCTTCTTCAACATAACCACCTAAGAGAGGTTTAGAAACCGCTACCCCATGTTCCCATGCACGAGATAAATGCTCCCTTCGATTTCGACCCCAGGCATCGAGCACCTCAAACTGCTTCTGACCACTAAGAACGGTTTAGAAACCGCTACCCCATATTCCCATGCGCGAGATAACTGCTCCCTCGATCTTGACCTCAACCATTGAGTACTTTGAACTACCTCTAACTTCCCTCAAACTTAACTTCGCACTCGATACTTATTATCGATTTTTTACTCCCAATCATGTTCATCGAATTTTTTCTATCTTCTTTCGATTCATATCTCGATTTATCTACTTTCCAATCTATATCTTGATTTATCAACTTTTCGATTCATATCTCGATTTTTCCCAACACATGGTCATTGAATTTCTTCTTTCGATTCATATCTCCATTTTCCCCAACACATGGTCATCGAATTTCTCCTATCCATTTTCGATTCAGATTCTCGATTTTCCCCAACACATGATCATCGAATTTTCTTCTACCCATTTTCGATTCAGATTCTCGATTTTTCCCAACACATGGTCATCGAATTTCTTCTTTCGATTTTCAATTCAGATTCTCAATTTTTCCCAACACATGATCATCGAATTTTCTTCTACCCACTTTTTGATTTATATATCGATTTTTTCCACCAACACCACTCTAATTACACCAAATCTACTTTTAAAGAAATTTATCTTAGGTGTGATGTTAGTTCAAAGAACCTTAATATACCCTTAATCACCATCATACTAGTTAATGTTACTTCACCCATGAACGTGACGTATAAATAAACACTTGATTTGATGATATGGATGTATGATATAAATCTGTGATGAATGATTTTGTATAAAAGTGGGTGATTGTTATTATTCAAATTGAATTATTAGGTTATTATTCAAATTGAATTATTAGGTTATTCTATATATTATTTTTATTATTTTGACTAATATTCATGTCACTTGTATCAAATTGATAAGATAAGATTGATGCCAATAAACTTTTCAATTGAAGATATTAGAAATATCTTTATAAATTAAATGTTAAAATAATTAATGATTTATATTCCGCAACTTGTGTAAAAAACACTACTTAATTAGCTTAAATATTTATTTTTATTACTTGCTAATCGTTGTAACAAAGCTATAATGATATATTCTGGGAAACGTTTGAAAGAGTTTGAGTTTATAAAAAGAATAATGTATGTCCTTCTTAAATTTTTTATTAAGTTTATAAAAGAAATTTGTGTAATAATAACTTCTCAAATAAACAATTAATTAACCTATTTAGATAATAGCGTCTTTTGTTTGGTTGCATGCGGAAGTAACAGTTAACAAGAAAAGTAGCTCAGCCAATCTAACCAACAAATAGCAGTGCACAGCACGAACAAGAAGCTTCATATATCATATTCCTCAAAAAAAGGAAACTTCATATCAAATTCTTCTATTCAATATTCTTATTTATACAAGGACGTACAAATATCTTCCAAGTAAACGAACGCTAAACATAAAATTTCAGCACCCAAATCTCAGTCACAAGATAATCAGAACTTGGTGAAGGTTAAGACACAAGAAACAATGGCAAGAAGATGGAGCACCAAGTGAGAGGGGACATCAATAGCGCTTCCATCAGATGAACCACCATCTGTTGATGGCACCGTTTTAGAACCTGCTCCTGCAGTGACCAAAATGACATGATAAAAACATTTTCAGCAATATTTATGCGAGTTCATGAACTAACCCACTCAATGACTAGTAATATGTACATGTCTGTGTAGACAAGTATTTGAACTATAAGTGAATCAATAAAGATCAAAGTGCATGAAACTTATGCACGAAGTGTATATTAGAATTTGTGGCTTTCATGTTTTCTTCTTTTTCTGAGTTTATGTTAAGATTAAAGTGCAGTATATATACCTGAGGGAAAGTCTGAAGCAGAAGGTGTAATGGACCCTTGAGGTGATTCAGCTGAAGAATCAGAAGGAGAACCAGCTGGAGCAGTCGAAGGAGATGTTGGTCCATTGCCAGCTAAAAATAAAATTAAATTCATGTAGTGAGAGCACAGTCAATACATTATTTAGCCAATTCAATTAGTTTTAATTATGATGTAAAATAAAAAAAGGAAGACTTTGCTTAATACTATCTATTATTCTTACATTGGCACTGGCTAATTGGGGGAGTTTGCACTTTGCAAGCGCCAGGGAGAGACAAAGCAAGAGTTTGATTAATGGTGATTCCAAAAGTGGAACCCCCACCATTAAGCACCGAGCAAAGGCACTGTGGTGAAGATTGGACAACGCTTGAGAGCTGAGAGCAACATGAAGCTGATGGAGTTGAAGAACTTCCCATTATGTAGTTCAGGCAAGGGCTCAAGCTAGTGAGTGTATTGGTGCAACCTGATTGGGCAGTAGCATTTTGAGTCCACATTGTGGCCACCATCACCGTAGCTAGACACAAGACAAACCCTCTAAAAGCCATTATTTCTAAAACCTTCTCACAGATCAGAAATCTCAAACTCTGAATGGGTGGATACGTTGTGTTGTGTGCTGATATTGATACAAATGAATGTGTGAGTGAGGATAAAAAGGAGCGGAAGCACGAGTTAAATAGAGAAAAAAAAAAAGTTATACGACATACACAAGTATATTAGGTTGCCTACCCTTGCTAATTAAAGACATGCCAAGGCAAAACTTTTCCAAAAGGAAGTGTTTTCATCGATGATTATAACTATAATTTGACTGTTTTGTTTTATATAATAAAAGTGTCGAAATATTCTAGAATATGTTTGACTCTACCACTCCCAAGATGTACGGACCTAATTAACTTTTGATATTTTGAGCCAAGAGAAACTCATTTGAGTTTTGATTTGGTGATTATGGTTGCAAATTCACAGCTACCTAGGTTGATGTAGTTCCGTGGGAAAGTCACACGCAATTTCAAACACGTATTTTTGCTTTAAGCTTCTTCGAAATATGATGAAATATAAGAATTCCATTAAAATAAATTGCCTTTAATTTCCATTCAATTATGCATTGATATATAATAAAAATTTATGAAGGAAGATTGATTTTACCAATGCTGGATCAGTATGAGTCGAAACTATTGTGGCTAGAAAATAGTGATTAGTTTTGAACCAAGAGCATTGAAATCTGATTACACTTAAAAGACATTTTTTGATAAGATAATTTTGATGTTTTCTTAAGCAACAAGTTCGGCAAACACAAACACTGTTTTTACTGAACAATGTCATATCAAAAGAACCAATTCTTAGTGGGCTCGATTACAAGGTCCAATTGCTCAGTCTGACAATTTTATTGTGCTAAGTTCGAATCTTCTCCGGAGAACATGTACACTAGCATTATCTTTCACATCATCTGCTACATCTCAAAGTCATGTAATCACCAGTTCATTGTTTTCTAAAGACGTTCTCTACAATCAATAAAAAAATAAATTATATCACAATAAAAAAAACTTGTGTTTAAAAATACAACTTTTTCATCGTAAAATAATTCTTGTAAACACAATTTATTCATTTATACAGTTATTTAAAAAAAAAATACTTAGATAGATTTAAAAAAAAAAACTATATCATTTTAATTCTTTTCTAAACACATACAAGACGGGTCCCTAATGTTTACATTAATCAATTATTTTTTTATTAATGGGTGTTAGATATTTTTAAAAGGACTAATAAAATATATATTCTTAATTATGAATATCCAGATAATGACATTATTTGTATCACTGTTCAACTCAACGAGACTCGTTCTGAAACTCTTGTAAAAAATATTTTCAAAACACAAGGATCCATAATGTAGGATCTTTCACCTATTTTTAATCGTACTCAACTGAACTAGTCACCATACGAATTATTAACTCTGATACCACTATCAGGTATTTTCAAAGGGGATTCATTGGGAAGAGATAACACCAATGAGATATGAGCCCAACTTACATAAAAGACTGACACCACTTTCAATCCAAAATTTTAAAACATTGAGTTTGTTGAATTATTGGCAAGCGTACCAAAATTATCAATCACAGTATGTTGAAACATACAAGGATATGAATGTTGAACATACATGGATATGAAGCTTGTAGATTTTGATGATGATTCAAGAATAAAGGGCTTAAATATTTGAAGACTTGTAATGTTATGTAATAACTCTGTTTTTATGTTTTTGAGTCTGTAATATTAGAGTTCAAGATAGCCAGCACATAGACCACTCTTTAAAAGCTCTAAAAACTCATTTTTATCAAAAAACATATTGGAATAATCGATTAAATGACAGGATAATCGATTATTACAGATAGAAAAGCATTTTCAGTCTTTGCTCTCTGGAATAATCAATTAAATGCCCTGTTAATCGATTAACTAGGATGTTAATCGATTAACTGGTCTATTAATCGATTAACAGATGTAGTTTTTGGTCCTCTGCGAAAATGACTCTGGAATAATCGATTAACACTCAAGATAATCGATTATTTCAGTCAGATATGTATTTTGAAATTCAAAATTGGACCAAGTTTCGAAAACCCTATTCCCAATTCATCTGTTTTCGAAAATCCCCAATTCCCAAACCCTAATCTCTCTACTTAAGGTTCTCTAAGGCTCTCTGCAAATTGAACAACCTTTTTCAAACAAAAGTTAAGAGTTATGACTACCAGAGAACTGTTTGTTGGGAGAAAAAAGGGGCTTTTGAAACCTAGTGTGGGCTAGAAGCGATAAGAATCACTGAGTGGGTTTTCTTGGTGGATTGTGTGCTGTGCCGTCTCTAGGGAAAACTGTTATTCATCCTTTGTGGATTCAAAGGAGGTGTTCATCTCTTGTGTGACTCAAGAGAGGTGTATTCTTTACCTTATCTTTTCATTTGTCATCTGTTTGTAAAATTGTGATTATAGTGACAATGTTAATCCTCTGTTTGAGTGATTAGCAACTGGACGTAGGGTCTTTTGATCCGAACCAGTATAAATTGACTGTGTAATCTTTTATCCCTTCTCTATTTACTTTACATACATTTTAATCGGTGAAATTTGAGAAAAATTTTAAAACCCTAATTTTTGTTTAAGAAACCAATTCACCCCCCTCTTGGTTTTTGTCTGTAAACGCAAACATTCCGCTGCGTGATTCTAACAAGTGGTATCAGAGCTTGCTTTGATAGTCATTCAATTTTCAAAAATGGCCGGACAAAATCAAACGTTTGCCGAGGGTGCTTCTATCAATAGACCCCCACTTTTTGCGGGGCAAAATTATACATTTTGGAAAGTTAGAATGCAAATATTTTTTGAGTCTGTTGATAGAGGTGTTTGGGACACAATTTTAAATGGTCCCTTTATTCCTAAAATTACTGAAAACGGAGAAGAGGTACCAAAACCATTTTCTAGATGGTCGGCTGAGGAAAATAGAAAAGCCCAATATGATGTTAGGGCTAGAAATATTATTTCATCTGCTTTAACCCTTGGTGCGTTTTATAGGATATCGGTTTGTAAAAGTGCTCAAGAAATGTGGGAAATGCTAAGAGTAACCCACAAAGGTACCGATGATGTTAAAAGAGAAAGAAAGAACTCATTGATACAAGAGTATGAGATGTTTCAGATGCAAAAAGGGGAAACCATTTTTGACGTTTAAAAGCGTTTCACTCATGAATCATCTCACCGGGTTAGGTAAAATTTTTGATATTGATGAATTAAATGTAAAAATTCTTAAATCATTGGATAGGAAATGAAAACCTAAGGTGATGGCCATCACGGAGTCATAAAATCTTGCAACAATGTCTATGGAGGCGCTCTTTGGAAAATTGAAAGAGCACGAACTTGAACTTGGAAGGCTAAATGATGAAGAAGACCAACATCAAAAGAGGAACCTTGCCTTCAAAACTGAAATTTTCAAGAATAAGAACAAGAAGGAAGAAGAAGACTCAGAAATTGAAGAAGAAGAACAATTGAGTCTTATGATAAAGAAATTTACAAAGTTCATGAAAGCCAAAGGGAAGAAACCCTTCAAAGGTAAGGGAAAGGTAAGAGAAAGTACTTCTTTAAATATTAAATGTTATGGTTGTGGTGAAACAGGACATGTAAAAACCGATTGTCCAAATAAGAAAAATGAAGACCATAAGGGCAAGAAATTTTTCAAGAAGAAATCCTATATTGCTTGCGACTATAGTGATTCAAGTTCGGAGTCAAGTGATTTGGAAATTGAAGCTAACATTTGCTTGATGGAAAAAGAAAACATCTCTTCCGATTTTGAGGTTAGTGATTCCGACTCTTCCTCAAGTGATGATGAAAATAATTATGACGCTTTACAAAATGCATATGGAGAATTGTTTACTGCTTTTAAGGACTTGAAAAATGAATATAAATCTGTGAAAAAAATGTTTGATTAAATCCGAAAAAGAGGTGGAAACCTTAAAAACGAAAATTGTATGTTTAGAGGAGAAGGATAATAAGAATATAGCATGTGCATCATGTAAAGAGTATGAACATGATATTGATATACTTAGTCATTTACTTGATAAAGCTAATGATAAAGTTGCTATTGTTCAAAATAGAGAAAACTATCATGTTCCATTGAAAAAGCCTAAAAATAGAAATAGAAGAGTATGAATTGAAAAAGGAACTAAAACTTCAAAAGTTAAAAATGTGTCATATTCAAAGATTACATCTAATGCATGCTTTTATTGTATGAAACATGGTCATACTTCAAATAGATGTAGAATTAAGCATTTTGGTGTTCCTAAAGGAAAATATGTTTGGGTTCCTATAGTTAAATGATTTGTTTGTCTTTAACCCCAAGGACCCAAAAGTTATGGGGACCTAAGTTTACTATGTTCTTGTTTTGTAGGAAAATTCCAAATCCAAGAAGTCTATGTGGTACCTTGATAGTGGATGTTCAAAACATATGACCGGAGACAAAACAAAATTTGTGAGTTTCAAAGCTAAAGAACAAGGATATGTAACCTATGGGGACAATAACAAAGGAAAAATACTTGGAATCAGAAACATTGGTGGTGCAAATACTTTGGAGATAAAGGATGTGCTTCTTGTTGATGGGCTAAAACATAATATCCTAATTATAAGTCAACTTTGTGACAAAGGATTCAAGGTAATCTTTGAAAGTAAGTTTTGTACCATACATTTAGTAAATTACGAAAATATAGCATTGAAAGGCATTAGGCATAATAATATCTATTTGATTGATTTGGATTGTGTACCTAATACTAGCATAACATGCTTAGTTGCTAAGGAAGAAAACCCATGGTTATGGCACAAGAGAGCGGCTCATATAAATATGCATCAATTAAACAAATTAATATCAAATGACTTAGTTGTTGGTTTGCCTAAGTTAAAATTTGAAAAAGCTAGATTATGTGATGCATATCAAAAAGGTAAACAAGTGAAATCATCCTTTAAATCTAAGAATGTTATTTCCACATCAAAACCTTTAGAACTATTACACTTAGATTTATTTGGTCCATCTA